GTAAAAAAGATCAAGCAGTAAGTATGTCCGAAATTGAATGCAGCACATTTTCGATTTGAATGCAATGCAAGGCAATATATAACCAATGGGCCAATATATGGCAAGGCAAGCTTAATAAAAAAGGTTCAAGCGAAAAATGATCGATAGGGTGCACCGCCCATAGTAGTTACGGTGAAAAAAATCGATTGGAACGAAATGAACCCCTGCAACATGAACCATAGTGTTGGAGATGACTGCTGACCGACCTTATCGCCCTCATTGGCTTCTTCTTTTACGACGTTCGTGGCCAGGTAACACGCCTTTTCCTTGATTTCACGAACAATTTCAAATTCGCTGGTTCTGTGAAGATCGGTACCCTCTTTGCGTAATAACAATCGCAACCATCGGGTGACATCACGTCCGGCAACATCCATCCGTCCGATGCTGCAACAGATTAGCAGAAATTCAAGAAAAGAACGTCCAGCAACACTCAGATGCAACCACAGAAATTATTATTACAGAAATTCTGAACTTACGCGTGATCAACTGCAAAACCCTCATATATAGGCACAACATGCGTTACTCCGTCTCCAGAATCAAGTACTACACCGGTTGTACGACCTGGAAGGAAGGAAGGTGTACAAAGAGTTGATCGACCATTACTGGTACAGGCGACTCGAAACCTATCCATAACGCCCAATTATCTTTGTTTATAATCGGAACGAGATGTAGTAATGAATCATACCACAAAAGATAAAAATTGTCCCAAACACTTAACTTTGCCCCTATGCAAGCCAACTCAATGACAAATTGTAAGCATGAACTCTCCTCAAGGAAAGTTACTAAATGAGTATCGATGCGCTGATTTATTCTTAAACCCTGAGCTGGTGGTATGGTCAAGGTTCAGTAAATGCGAGCCCTAACTAGTGACTGCGAGCCCTTACTAGTGAACTGTACAAAGTTATAGAATATTGTCATATCGAGGAAACGGGAATGAACTTGGCAGTACTTAATAAATTTTCTCTCGTAAGATCCAGTGAACCAAATCCATCAAGAGGCTGTTTACTTTCATGAAAAATTAAAGGCACAGTTCACGATAAAACCAGTTTCTTAGGTTTCCCCACAGGATGAATTTGGGGCCCTGCATATACCATATCTGGCAATATCAGGTGGAAAACTGCCCAGTTAGGGCGTCGTAGAGGCTCAATGATTGTATCGTGTGTATCCCTGGACGAGTTTCACCGACATAGCAGAGGCTGCAGCATTCACAAGGAAAACCATGTAGGAGGCTCAAGCAACTTGTCGTGATCTATAGCAACAGTGAAAGACAGTCTGTATAGTTCTGGCTTGATGTAGTCAGCTCTTTGTGCAATTGCAATAACTGAAATCTCGTCCGAATACCCCTTTCATGTTATTTTCGTCATGGCAATCTCGTCCAACCTCTATTTGCCGCTTTTTGAAAAGCCATATTTTTCTCGAAATGGCAAATTCCCTCGCTTTTTTCGCTACCGATGAACTATTCCCAATCTATAGTTCCACTTTTCGAATAAAAAGGAGTACCTCAAAATTATCGTGAACTGTGCCTTTAAAATATTGAAAAATCGCTATCACTTACCGGAGGAATACAATGATAATACAGCTTGCATTTGAATGTGCAGCGCAGGTACATTGAATGACTCGAAGAAGATCTCTGCTGCCTGAAAAGCCAATTATTTAAACATCTGATAAGCTCCTGACATAAACTACCTTCTCTTTGTGTTTCATTGGATTTAGTGGCGCTTCCGTGAGAAGTACAGGATGTTCTTCAGGAAAAATCTGGAATAAAAGTCCACTCAGTCATAGTAGCGATATGTTTACTTCA